TCCACAACTTGAACTACTCTTGTTTGCGTTGTGTAGCAAGCGTTGTCCGGACGGCTGAGTATGTCCACAACAGTGGTGGCGGTTGCCTCACACCGTACACACCAATCGCTGAGCAAGCGTTTGGTAATCGTGGCAGCTTAACGCAAATCGGACGGACTGCGGGCAGGCTCGGGCGAAGACTGCGGGAGGGCAGGGGGGTGGGCTCCACGCAGGCGTGGGGGGCCCAAAACATTTGGGAGACAGGCACACAGCAAGCGGGGTCGGCGGATAATTCTAGTATGCATACTGCAGGTTTGTGATCAGCCAGTCACCAGAGCTAAACTCACTGCACGTCAGAGCTGCGATGTAACCATCGTGCTGCAAGGGTTTTCTCTTTGCTAGATATTTCCAGACAAAGTATTTGGTGCAGACATGCGCAGACCAGTGTTCCGAGCCTGATGTTGATCAGCAGCTCAGGAATGGCGTAGCTGGGGCCACAGTAACGTTTGTGCATCGCCAGATGGTTTGCAAAGGGCACGCTTCGCAGCAGCGGAGGCTTGGCAGAACTTCAGCACAGCGTGCAACCTCACTTTCTCGGGCCAGTACGCTGATGTGCTGCACCCGGGCTCGCGTTGGAGCTTCACAACCTCGAGGTCAGGTCTTGTTCTGCCAGACTACAGGCACAGCCCGTCAATGCCCAATCCGTACGGCTTGCTGATTGTTCAACACAGCGCCGTTGGTCGCAACTCATTTGGCAGGCATCGGTTAGGATTTCTTGTAGCAGCTCTTGCGGATTGCGGAGTTGCGGCAGCAATGAGCGCAACGGTCTGTATGGCATGGTACGCCTGATAGTGGCGGCACCGATTCCACTGCTTTAAGCGAGGCAAGCTTCGAGTGTGCCCCATTGAAACCAGGCCGGAGAGAGCAGTAGCCCTTGAGAGAACGGAACATGTTGCTGCATCTGAAGATTTTTGGAGGATGCCGCGAGGCGAAGGTCCTATGGATCAGGAGCCATGGCAGCTCCGGCAGAGGATTGGAAAGTAGGCTATAGTCGTGTCCCGGCCAGGAGTATGCAGACGAAGCCTATCACCGCTGCAAAGAGGGACTGGACGCCAAGTCCAACTGCTCAGAGCTTCTGGAGAGCCTCAGCCTGTGCACAGAGCTCTTCCCAGACTCAGACGGGCCTGGGAGCGATGTCTCGTGCAAGGAAGCGACATTGGATCTTCGCAAAGCGCAGTGCTGCAGTACATCAGCGCCTGTCAGTGCTCCGGCCCAAAGAGCAGAAGATCTCAGCCTCCAGTACTAAAAGCTACAGAAGCTGCATAAGTTTTGCATAAGAGTCGAGGAATGGTTCTCTGCCAATCCCGGAACCTTGATAGCTGTGTTACACCCTGAGAGCCTCGGATGCACCAATCACAAAGTAGAAGTAGTTTTCCTGCATGCAGTTCTGGATTGTACTACTACGACACCGTACGCATATGGTGGCTGGGGATAACCGAAGCCGGGTCTGTTGTCACATCTAAGGTTCGAGAAGTTGAAGAACTGGCCTTCCGGGGTTTCGGTCTTTCGCTTCTTGCCAACCCAGCGCTTGGAGAGCCAGTGCGAGACAAGAATCGAGGAAGCCGAGCATTGGTTTCGAACGTCGGCACCACCCCCAACAAAAGCTGAGCTCTAGCGGCGTGGCAAACCAGACAACCTCGGTCTTGCATGTTGGAACGGCGGGGAGGCGGATGGCATGTTGCGCATGCCCTGGCGCCAAGACATCGAGCACAAGATGCAAGAAGGGCAAAGGTCGACCAGCAACGCCCGACACGAAGCCACAAACAAGTCCCAAGTCCTTCTCTGCAAGTCAGCCTCTTCGATGAGGCCGTGGCAGAGACAGGCAACTCGAGCGAGACCATGCTGGTTTCAAGGTTCCATGTGAAGTGGTCGGAGGGAACAGCGAAAGTGGGATGCGAGACCACTGCAACAGCGTGGCTGAAGTGTTTCGTAGACCGGACCTGTCGCGGCATCTTGGCCGGTCTCGTAGATGTCGATAAATCTGCTGCATGATGGATAATCAAAAAGTCTGCCACGATTGAGCGACCTTGAGGCTGGGATGTTGCTATCAGTTGTGTATCTTGGTGAAGATAGGACTTGTCGCAGGTCGGAGATAAGTGGATTGCTGTGATGCATGACACGGCCGGTGACCGAGCAGATGGTTGTTGCACATAAGGAGGTAAAGCCCCCAACTCAGTCAGGTGATGCCAGATGGAGGCCAAGTGCCCGAAGAGGCTCCGCCGTTGCAGCTCGAGCTCGAGCACTTACACTGCCGATGCGACCTTTAGGTCCGACCTGCTCCTGGAAAGAGGCAGTTGGGGCCTCAGCCCTGTTGTCTGCGTTGCACAAGCGCTAGTCACCCGGCATAAACAAAAGGCTGCGCTGCACTTCGAATGGGAGCAAAACTGTGAAGCTGGAGCCAGGCAGCCTCAGGCCCATAATTTGCCTGCGAGGTATATTGACCTGACAAAGTACGAGGGAGAGGCAGTTGAGCGCTTCATGTCCACCGCCTGCGCACGTTCATCCCCGCGCAAAAACGTCAGTCCGCAGGAGGAAGATGGGGAAGCCCAAGAAGCACCGGACGCCAAAGACCGGGATACTCCTGAAGCTTTTTGATGCGCCTGTTGAGTTCTCGATCGCCAGGAGTATCCACCAGGCAGAAGCCTCGCACGAAGTCCTTGAGACTTATCTCGTCTCTGTTTCCAAAGTTTGAATCGTGAAGGCCGCTACAAATGTTTGACTCAGTGGGTCAATATCCATGCCAGATTCTCAGCCCGAGCGCCCACTCAGCGCTGAAAGCGACTGTGACCCAGGAACAGCCGGACGTCTCCTCGCCTGTCCACGGCCGTTGCCTTCAGAAGGAGGCATCCGAAGCACTTCTGGCAAACGGGATGGCGCAGCTCAGCTTCAATCTGCGAGGAGCTTTCCTTCCTGGCTGTCAAAGCAGTGGCCTTGGAAAGTAAGCCACATTAAGACACTTGTGGTCTGCTGTTCTCATCAGCGACTCAATATGCCTGTTCTTTCAGGTGTTTGGAACAGAGCTACGCGGGCTCGCAGAGCAACGCACCTACTGCCACCATTCTTGTGCACCAATGGCATCCAACAGCGACGCAGCGCGTGATAGCGAGTGATCGGCACCGAAGTAGGCGTGGTGGCTGGATTTCACTGGCCAGTGGGGCAGGTGGGGCCCCCAGTGCACTTCAGCCTTCGCCTTCGGGCCATTTCGGGCCCTTGGGTCACGCTACATCCGAAGGCAAGCGTCTTTTCGAGAAGATCTCGGAGCTAGATCCCGAGCCGCTGCAAGGGCGCCATGAGCTCAGCTAGTTTCAGTGTCCATGCTGGATGTTTTGAAGAAGTGTTCCGAAGCAAGAGAGCCATTTCCAGAAGACCTTAAGAACGCCAGCGTTCAGGCTTCCTGTGCCGAACCTCGTGCCCTGCCTTGCTTTTGTCCTGACATGTACCTGACCGCAAATCTTACCGTACCTTGATGGGCCGTACCTCGCCGCCTTTTTAGAGGAATCCCGCTCTTCCGTAACTCGCCTGGCCTGACCTTACTCTACTCTCACTCGTCCTATTGGCTCTTACCTTGGCCTTACCTCCGGGGTAAGCGGCAGCAATGTTGCAAATGGTGAGCAGGTTCCAGAGTAGTAGCGTTCTGATTCACTGATTGTCTTATGTTTTGTCTCGTCAGGCTACCGCATCAGGGTTACCAGCCATGACCTCAGTGCTACAGACAGTGGGCTGAACAAACTGCAACAAGTTTCGATGAACGTGCCGCATTGATGACGGCAATGGTTCTTCTGTTGCTTGACGTATGTCTCCCGCAAGCTCTCATGATGCGGAAAACTTCGTCGGCATTTGCACATACAATCTCTGTGAGAGAGGTGCGCCCGTCTTCGAAGCGCCTTCTGCTTCTGCTCGGGAAGTTGGACATCTGAAGGCCGGCTGTTGCATTGCAGTCATCAGTTTGCGACCCCGACGTGCAAGGCGGGCGAGGAGGTCAGCTTGGATGAAGTTCGCGTCGAGGGCGACGGCCGGATGGGAAAGACATGATATGGGCACTTCAGAGTCTCGTTCTTCCTCCGCTGCCTTATCTAGCTAATCATGGCTAATCTCGCCTTTGAATGGAAACTTTGCCTTCCGTGAGCGGAGCTGAAGATCTCTTGTTTTGTGTTGTGCTGCCGCAGGCGCAGATGTCTCCGTCATGGGCAGGCGCTGTGCAAGTAGAGGTGAGCTCCTGGAAGACAGAAGCAGAGGTGTCTTTGCAGGCTTGCTCGGACCGCGGGAGGTCTTTCTGGATGGGTGGAGTCCTGAGAGTGTGCTTCTACAAAGGCACTCAGCCTGAACCTAAGGCCACACACCGGGCTCAGAATATTACATGTGCAGCACGCATGCTCGTGCTGGAATGGGTGGGGACCAGACTACATCAATCCTTGATCAGCTCCTTTCATGCTGTACAGCTTGGCCGCGGGATATGTGTCGTTACCGTACGTGACAATGAGGACATTTTGCCTTGGTCTCAGGTGACCGTCTACGCCTCCGGCCCCGTGGGTCTGGTGTGCGAGCAGATTGTCGAAGGAGCATCTGAGCATCTAGAACCAAAGGATCGGCCAATTGAATGCCAACGGAAGGCTACAACGAGAAGCCCCGCAAGCCACTCAAAGGCCAGTCGGAGCCCCAGCTCTGCAGCATGGGACCGCTTGTTGCAATGATGCTGCCGCTGTTCCGGCCAGGACTGGCCATCAAATGATGCTGGTTTCGGACATGGTGCTGCTGTGGGATCCCGGCTTTAGGGAGCACCTCGAGGCAGCTAAACTGCCCTTGAGCGTGCGCATGATTGCATTAGATGCAGCTTAGCAACATCGTTCTGGCTTGTGCCGCTTGCGCCTGCAGGCATATGCCGAAGACGAGGACTTGCTGAAGCGCGAGTTTGGGGAGGCCTGGTCTACTGATTTTGTGAAAAAGGTTCGATCTTGGCGGATTTGGCGGGAGCAAGGCTTTCAAGAAGCTCACCGAGCTCGGCTGCCCTTGGTCCAAGGAGCGGGCATCTCGAAACCGTTGGACGGGCCGCGCCACTTCAGCCGCAGGATGCTCCTGGTCCAGCTACTGGCTGTGCAGCGGTCACAGCTGGTCGCTGCCCTTTTGTGCAGTGATCGATGGCCTTGCAGATGCTCCGGGCTCAGTCTCGCTGTGAGTGCCAAGAAAGTGGCGCCACGCTACTTTGTGACGCTGAGGCACGGGAACCGTGCACGGAGGCCCATGAGCTTAGGAGGTCATGTCGTGGGAAGCTGCTGGCAAAGTCAGCGCGGACCCATCAGCAAAGCGATATGTGCCGCCACTTCTTGCGAGCAGTCGCAGGTTCATCGAAGGCACGTCACGAGTTAGTGACGAGCGTAGAAGATTAAGAGCGAATCTTCCGGCATGCTGCTCAACTTTGTAAAGTCGCAGAAGTTGCCGAAAACATGCATCCCACACGTCACCATTGCATGTTCGAGCCGCATGGCTGACATGAAAGTAGAAGCGGCCCTTGCGGTTTCTGTTGTCTCGGTATTTTTACAACACCGTTCTGAAACCTGCCTCGCTCTCGTTTTTTGGCCAGAAACTGCTAGAACACATTGCGAGCAGATGCGAGCAGCAGCGACATCGCATTCTACATGCATGCATGAACATGTTTTTGGACCATATTCGTCCGACGTGCTGCAGTCATGCCGGCTTTTCATGCAAGCGCATCCGAGTTGCTAGACTTCAAATTCCTTTTGTAGTTGCCACAATGGACCCCCGTGGTGAAACAGGCAGGACCCAGTCCAAGCCATAGCCTTTTGGTTTTGCTCAAAATGAAGGAGCAGACTTGTTTTCCAGGCATCATGCCCGGGATTGCAGAGAAAGTTCGACATATGGCAGGTGCTTGTCATTCATCGTGTTTGCTGTGTGCCGCTGCCCGCCTTGACACAGGTATCACGAATTGGGCCGGGGAGCTCAGCCAGCGCAGTGTCAGACGTGAAGGGAAATCTCCAGTGAATTGCTGGGCCTGTACAGATTTGTGATCTTGGGCTAGCCCGATCCTGCCCTGCTATACGGGGCTGGCTCCGTGAGGTGCACCCTGCAGTTGCTTTGTCCCGGCCTTGGGTCTGGCAAGGTCTATCGGATGCCATGTCTGAGGGAGTAGCATCGTTGGTCGTTGGTCGCGCGGCATGGTTATGGAGGTTGTTCATGAGGCGCCGTTGAGGGCAGAGTGAAAGAGAGTTCGTCCGGATATGGTTTCGAGAAGTGTTGCTGCCCTGTGCCATCGACCTGCTTTCCACTGCTCTTCCAGCCTGCGATCGAAGCCGCAGCAGTGCCGAAGCAGTCAGCGCCTTCCAAGGCTGCCTCCAGCGGGCGGCTCCAACGCCGTTTCTTTCAGAGACGAGGAGCTTCTTGGAGCCAGCCCAGCCGCCTGAGCGATACGCGAGCGCACTCGGCATTGCTCCACCAGCTCTGCGAGGAGATGTCTGGAGATGCAGACGTGCAGCATCAGCGCGAGCTGAAGTTTCCGGAGCAGTCAACTCCGCATGCCCGGCTGCTCAGCTCCGTGAGATCGTCTTGGTCATGGGGATGTGCAGAGCCATGCATCGAGGCGCTGTCTCTTGCCGAGATCTCTGGCCTCGCAAAGCCGAGAGCAGTTCCACCTGCCTTCGTTCCGCCCCATCCTTGGAAGACGCGAATCGCTGCTACGTCGCTGCTACGTCGCTGCTACGTGTGCGGCGCAGCCGATGCGTCTTCAGACTGAGGCCAGCTCAACATAGCGGCTATACGAAAGAGCAGCTCAAGGCGCTGACTCACGGTCTCCTCCTTGGCCTTTTGCCTTGGCTCTCTCAACTTTAGGACTGGGGCTACCCTGAGTACGATACCAAGTACGACGACCCGAGATGGCTGTTTCGCTCTCGGGAACTTCGACTCAGGCTGCTGCCTGCATGTATCTGGTTGCAGCCAGCCGTCTTTCGGATCTTGAAGACTCTGGCCATACAGACGAGTGTGGAAACGGGTAGACACATTGCAGACACCTCTAGTAACTCCCGAGAAGTAGAGAGAGCTCACAAGCAGCACGTCGCTTCCCGATCTGCCTGGTACACTGTACATCCCACAGCCTCGGCCGGTTTGCAATGGCACAGGAATCACAGGAACCCTCTTTCCATTACTCGATTCTAGAGCGTCTAGGAATTGGTTGGCGGGACAGCGTCTGTCAGTCCAACGAGAAGCGCGTCAAAGAGTACGATCGTCAGCTCGAGGAGGCTCTGGAGCATCTCGGAACGAGTCGTGAACATGGGGTTGCGCTGATGCTACCTCCATACCTCCCGAAGCATTCGAGCACAGAAGAGGCCAGTACAGGTTCACGGAGACAAGGGGCCCCGAGATCTGCCTCATTGCATCGAAATCGACACGAACTCCAGGTGTATCTACATTGAAGACTGCGCTGGTAAGCTACATGTTCGTTCCTACTTGGACACGGCCATGTGTGAGCTGCCTGCATGATCACAGAACCCAGGTACGAGGAGGAATACTTAAAACAGTGGCGCAATCGTGATGACAGCTTGGATGTGGTGCTCGCACGGCGCTCCTACGAGAAGGGTTTTGCCACAGAGCCGTGGGGTGATTCAGTAACACCTTGACTTCATCATGTTTGACTGTCGAGTCTCACAGTCCGTCTCATTGGCTTGGCTTTGGTGCTTTGTCCGAGGACAACGGGAAGACACAGCTGGCTGTATCCATACCGATCGAGGAGCCACTGCAAAGCTTACTAGCCGAGGCAAGAGATGATGTGGTCAACTGCGTGTTGCTGCTATCAGGCATGCACAGTCGGAGTGAGGCAACCGACGCTGAAAACAGCAGCACATGGATTCCAGAAGTGGCCCACATTCCGCAAAAGGACATGCACATAACTGTTTGCATTCCCAGTCTCTGGAGAGAGCCGGACGCGGACCCGAAAGCACACGCCGAGTACAACAGTCAAGTCATTAAGGCACTTCGGCTCAGAACCGAGGTGTGACCTTTGTGGTTGAGACTCGAAACGACTTGAGGAGCTCAACAATGGTTCATCCCTGTTTAACAGTAAGTAAGACCACCCCAGCAAACAAGCCTGTTCAACGCAAGCATTCTTGTATTGCTGCTTTTTCAAGGTTAATTGTCACAGCAGCTAATACCAGTCTCTGTCACCGAGTGCATGCACGGCTTTGGGCTAAGGCGCTGGAACATGTCGCAGCAGACCATGAGGCTTTCGTGCTGGAGGTGGACCGGATAATGCTCGCCAAAGACGGATCCCTGCTGGCTTTGTTTCGGACCGTGGGAACAAGTGACAGCGACAAGGGCCTGCGTGAACCTGGCGTGCTGAGCGATCGTGCCAGTGCGGAGATGGATCCCATGACGGCGCTGAGAACCGACGTTTTATACGTCTTCCTAGAGAAGAAGCTGTCTCACGTTCAACGAAAAGACGAGCTGGATCTTGCGGCGGTGCACGAGCATCCCAAGCTTTTAAGACAAGCGACCATCGTGAGAACAGTCGGTGGATCTGCGCATGGTTACGTGCACTGTTCCTTGAGCCGACTGGCCTTGGGACCCGAACTCACGAAGAAGCAACTGGACCTCAAGCATCTTCACCGGATCTGCAGGCGTCACACGAACAAAGTCACATCATTTTCGACATGTCAGTTTAATCGAGCTCTAGCTCTGGCTCCAGCGAGGTCGTGGACTGCAAAACTTGCAGGACGTCGGATGGCTCCCCGGCGCTAAACTTGGGGGCGTACATTCTATTACTCGATGTAGCTGTAGTCTTAAGTCTCCACATGCAATCACATGCAGTACCATGCAGTGCTTCGTCCATGCAGGCTAGCGGCTAGACTCATGGAGGATGTCGGCGCTGTGTAGAACTGGCTAAGCGGTGATTAACCCTCGCGGGCGTTCCAAGCTGCCTTTCAGGCTGTGCGCGGTTTCATCTTGAGCGAGATGACTGGGCTAGGTGAAGGCGGCAATAAGAATCCATTCGACAAAGCGCGACTTTGCCGCATCCTGGGTGACTCTGGCACGCCGTAATTGGGAGGGGAAGCGGGGGGAATTGGGGGAAGCCGGGGAAGCAGATCGGACAGCTGAGGAGATGGATGGGGACTCAGATGCACACATCTTTCTGAGGACGTGAGTTCGCATGCACCGTTGAAATGTCTCCCCGACTCCGCCAGGTTGCAAGGCATCAGTCTCAACAACAAGGAAGGCTTCCTCGTGACTCAGATGAACAGTAGCACCAAGCTCACTGTGCATGGGAATTTGCACCTTGCAAGGCTGTCAGAAGGTCTTGGCTGCATGCGCTCGGAGGATGTTTTCCATGGTGCTCATGACGTATGTGAGCCGTCTCCGATGTAACCACGTAAACTACGTCGGCCGCGTGGGAGACTGTCGAGCCACCTGTGCTTGGATCGTTTTAATGGCAGACTGGCCAACAGCGGACTGTTGTGTAACAAAGCTTGGCGCAGAGCGGTCTACTGCAAACTTTGCTCTATGACGGTTCAGTGACAAAACGAGATGTGTGGCCAAGGTCAGAACAGTTTCGGCGTGAAACTGACGATCCTCGCGAGAATCCTAATTTTTTCCTGACTCAGGAGGCTTGGCCTTCGGTTTTCGGAAGACGTGAGTGCACCATGACCTGCTGTGTCTGGAAGGACCCAGAGTTCTGGAACAATGCGGCGCGCAAGCCACACATGAAAGCGCTAATGCAATCCGATGACCATTGGAAGTCGTCCCCTTAAGTTTGTCTCCACTTGTAAGTCAGCTTTGCTCAGTGCTGAGAGGCTGAGAAAAAATACTTGGCTCCAGCAGTTCTCGGAGGCAACAGCAAAGCGAGAGCAACTCTGAGCACTCCTGACATTGAGCCGTTTGCCCATGTTCCAGGTGCAGACCACGAATCAGTTCCGAAGAGAGGCGACAATGCCCCGGCGCGTCAGAGGGTTAGCTGTCTTCAAGGTGAACTGCCCGTCTATAGATGTATCCGGGCTACCCAAGCAGCTAGGGGGTCGGCCTGAGCCATGCCAAAAAAAGCGCACACTGTTGACAGCTCGCGGACCGATTGGATGAATGCACCATGGCCACTCGGCGCTTGGCAGGAATCCCAGAGTATTATGTCTCATATTGAGGAGAAGTGGTTCCAGTAAATCGATGCTTGCATCCGTATCTTGAAATTTTCTGTAATGCGAAACGGAATCACGGATCCAATGACGAACCGTTATCTGGCTGGAGCTTTCTAGCAAAACCTTGCATTGAAAGCACATTCTCCACCTTTTTTGCGCTGATTGGCCGGCAGCCAGTACGTGCCAGCAATTCTGCAAGTGGCGGAGGCATCTGTACGTGCCCTGACACGCCTACGCTAGTTTCTTCGTGCAACAACACTAACTGTAGTTGCTCTATGCTCTAAATTCTCTAGACTCTAGATGCAAGGTTAAGTCCACTTTTTGCAGGGCTTGAACTCGAGGTCACGCCCATTCTGCACTACAGGGCAGTGGAGGCCTACTTGATGCAGGCCATAGCGCCATGCATTACAGGGGTGGATACGACTGAGATTCTGACTTCGGAGGCTCAGGAACGTAAGCTGGCGAACGTGATCAGTTGCGGGGACGGGGTGATGAACTGCAAGACTACTGCAAGACTCTGGACCTGGTCGCGCCAAGAGCGTGGCACGTTGCCATAGTGTTTCATTGGATGTCGGAAGCTAACTGAAGCAGTGGCTTGCGAAGGTGGTGCGGCAAGCTCAAGAGCGTGGTGTTCCATTGCCGCAATTCCTTGAGGCTCCTGAGACGCAGAGGCCCTCGCAGACTCTGACAGAAGGGTCTGGAGGGCTACGCTGTCACTGGCAGGATGCTCTTCGACTTTCGCAATACCATCGATGCAGAAGGTGACAAGGGTGCCGATCGAATTTTCCAGGCGCCGGCCAGTTTGTCTTCAGTTTTAAAGCTTAGAGTGGGGAAGGCGCGGTCGATTGGAAAGGGAGCCGGGATCTCCGTTGAAGTGCACAGATCGGTGTTCCATCGCGCAGATTCTGCGGGGTTTGCAGCAACGAAGCATGCCAGCATTCGTGCAGGATTGGCATCAGCGGGGTATCAAGGAAGATGCCCAGGCCCAAGATGAGCCAAGTGTTGCCTTTCCTTGTCGCGCAATGGTCCTGAGTCTTGAGGGGCGGCTTAGGGTGCTGACAAAAAGCTCGGTTCGAAGAGGTCTCTTGAACACCATGCACGGAGAGGCGCAAGATCTCAGATGTTCCAACAGCAGCTTTGAGGCTGCCAAGCAAGAGCGCCGCAAGATCGAAGGGCCCAAAGCAGTTTCTAGTGCGCCCGCAACTGCATACTCGTGTGCAAAAATTGGCACCGTATAGCATTGATATGCTGCACAGATTCATCTTGGTGATAAAGGGAAGGGCCATTTTGTTCTGTCGCCCATCAGTTCAGATCTGGCTTTGTGGGAGTGGTGCTCCGAGTCTTCACATGTCTGCCCTACATCCCGGAGGTATGAAGGAAGTGCATGATGGCCTGAGTTTTGCCACCAAGTATCGCAAGGTGCGGTCGGCCTGTCTTTTTTTGCGACACTTCGCGACTGTCGCCGAGCCGATGTGCTGGTCTGCTCACCTACAGGATGGGGTGGTGGAATGGGAAAGAGGCAATGCTGAGGATGCCTTAAAGGCAAGCAGCTTCCAAGTTGCAAAGCATCTCGTGAATTCATGACATGCTGAAGGCGTGGCGACTTGGGTGCGAGGCTTTGGAAAGGACAGCTGACTGACAGCTGTGCTATTGTTAGACGGAAGGGGCCTTGTTTGCCTCATTGCTTTGCCCGACATACTTGTCGTGGGCAAGCTGTCCAACAAGCAGCCCGTGCTCACTGTCATTGGAATCAGCTTTTGTCCGGAGCAACAAAGTGCAATCACCAGATTTGAGCAGGATACTGGTGCCCGACACTCATGCTTCCGAGCAGAAATTCTTCTCGGAGGCGCAGCCCACCTGTGCTCACGAATAGTTCGTAGGCACCAGTGAAGAGCTGATGTGAGAAGAGGTAACAGATTCAGGTCCGAGTGGCGCTCTTGAAGAACAGAGCTCTAGCAGCACTCAAGCTGCATGGTTGGCAGGAGGCAGTTCTCGTTCTGTTCAGCGTGCCCCACACCGAAACACACGTTCAGTCATGGCCAGGCGCTTGAAGCTGCAGAGGATGTGCTCAAGATGGATGACCAGGACAGTTTGTGCTTGAAAGCCTCGCCATGCCTCGGGTTGTCCCGTCTCAGGACCACAAAGCTTGGTTCCGAAAAGCTTGCGCTTTAGAAGGCGAGCCGGGGGCACCGCCAAGCGGAAGGCCTTTAGAAGGCTCAGGGCTCTCAGACTGACCGGAGGCCTGGGCCGGCTCCGGGAGGTGGAGAGATGTTACTCGGAATGAACATCGGAGTGGGGGCTTTTTCTGTCAGGCTGCTGTCACTTTTGGCTCTGCGGAGAGACCTCTCAGGTCTGAAGATGATAGATACCATTGCAGTCGGGCGTGCACTCCTCAAGCAGAGAAGAGCGAAGAAGTGGCTGAAGTGCAGCAACATGCAGCAGCAGTGGCGCACGGGGCGCCATCCTGGCTTTTGCGCGAAATTGCTACTGTAGGACGCAGAGATGTCGGCTGTCGCAAGGTCCTGACAGGGACCGCCTGGAGCGTGAGACCTCTGCCAAGCGGGAGAAGGCAGCGACTACGCCGACTTTAGGATTGATCCATTCCTTGCTCTTTGTGTTGTTGATCCTTAGTTCTGCTGACCAGTCATGAAAACTTGGGCATCCGAGCCGTCAGGTGCAAGCGCTGCTCAGCCGAGACGAGGCATTGTCGCAGCAGCTAAACGCGCAGCACGGCAGACGGCACAGAGCAACATCCGGTTTGCACGCCCGGGAATTTCGTCACGAAGTGAGGGATGCATGGGACAGGGCATGACAGGGCAAGTATGTAAAACTTCATGCTGGATTAGTGCATTGTTTTTTCTGATTGCGCTGTTTCCGTATCCAGTTCAGTCAGCGGCAGCAACCGACAAAAAAACATCTGCATGGTGCAGAGTGTGATCTGCTGCACTGTAAAGGGTCCTGACGATAAGGTAGGGGCGGCCGGAGAGGGTAAACAGGTAGGCCCGGTACATTGAGCAGGACAGTGCTTGGCCGAACTCGGGCGCAATGTAATCATCCACCTTTCGCTTTATCCTGCCAGACATGATGGCTGAGCTCAGTCACCACGGCGTTGCGGACCGTACCATGTATCCAGCGAATGGCTATGGGAAGCCGATATCTGATGCAGCGAGCTCCTGCAAGTCAAGAGCCACGGCATCGACAATGAGCAGCTCTTCGCGCATTTCTTCTGCCAGGGAGCCGCGGGATCCAAGGGCATGTCCTCTTGCTGGAGCTTCTAGGGATTATGAAAGCGTGCATCGTCAGTTCCATGACAATGCGGCCGGTGCCCGTGATTCCTGGTGGTTGCGGCAAAGAGACATCTCTACCAATTATGCCAGAAGCAATGGCGCCCTTGTTGGCGGTCCACCGGTATTCAGCTTACCGAACGAGGATCTCAACGCACGAAGCCGTCATATAGCTAAACAACTCAGGGAAGCCTTTGCCGGCGCCGCAGGGCATCGGACTTGTGTTGTGGGAGACTTGGCACCAAAGCCCTCGCGAGTCTCGCAAGACCTCGTTGTCGATGCAGAAAAATCTTCCAAAGCTTCAACTGAAAGACGGAAGACGCGAAAGCACCGACACACCGAAGGCACGGCCCCGGCGAGCAGAAAACAAGACCTCGTGGCCTTCACGAAGTCTGCTGCCGGCAAGAGATGCATGGGTGGTCCACAGCGTCAGGAGGGACTGAAGGTCTACCCGGCTGCAGCCAGTGTGTGCGAGACCGCTGGATTGGTTCCGGGCCGTGAGAGTGGATCACCACCGCGGGCTGAGAACCACTTCGGCGCGGGCCTAAGTGCGACAGACGGAGTTGATTGGCTTGCATGTCAACGGGGTCGGATGTGTTGTTGTCATGCCCTGTCACGTCCTAGATGTGGCCGAGCATCTTGGTGCCGCTGGCAAGAGACGGCTGGGAGCCACCCCTCGGAAAGAGGGCTTGCGAACCAGGGCCACAGGGCATGCTTCGCAAGTGGACGAGGCAAGTTAAGAGCTGAACGCACCCAGGATCATGTGAGCGGCTAAGCGCCATACCTAGCCCTATCCAGACTCCACAGGTTGTCTTCGGCCGTGACATGGACTGCTCAGACGTCCGAGTTGCGGAGTACGCTGAGGAGCCTGTCTTCGAGGGAGCCGCAGGGCGAAGGTGCCTAGGCCAAGAAAGTTGCGGCCGAAGAGCCTGGCTTTGTGTGCTCAGCCTCTTGTGAGGTATGTTGGCCACGTGGAACGCCGGGAAGGGATCAAGGCCAATCCTGCAAAGGCGGACTCCGAAAGTCGAAACGTCTCAGCGTCCTGACGGAGCATTGTCACAGGTTGTCACCAGGGTGGACAAAGTCGTCTTGGGACGGGAGTTGTCGAATTCTGATGCTGCTTGGCCGGTATACGTCCTGTAAGCACAGTGCAAAGCAGTGGCACAGGTCCTTGTCGCGCCCCTTTGGCTCAGGACAGGTTGAAAGAACACCTGCGGCTGGAAGCCTTCAAGGCGCACCGGCCACTTTCAGCCGCCCGGTGGCCAACGCGGCGATTGTTGCAGGATGCGGCCGGTGCTCCTTGTCTTGGCCACGTAGACCGGATGGAGGGCCTGAAGCCTGACCTCACGACCACGCTCTCTCAGGTCGACAAGGCACACATTGCCGGCGCACGGACATGTCGCTGCCCTCCAAATGAAACGAGCCCTGGCCTCTCTGTGCCGTCAGATCGTCTTCGGCCACGAGCTTGGGAGCTCTACTGAACGAATCCGAGATCACTTGCAGTCCGCTCAATTCGAAGGCCGGAGAGTGAGTGCTGCGGATCCGCCGCTTTTATCGTAGTCAAAACTTCAGTTGAGTCGCCGTCGCCGGCATCGCTGTCAAACTGCTCTTGCTTGCTGCAGACGTTGTCGCTTCTTGCGACAAACCCGTCGTTTTGTCTTGGCAGCACTTCAACGAGTTTGACGTCCACAGTCCTCGGTTGACGGTGTCAGGTGATCTGATGTTTTTTGTACCCAATAGAATTCGAAATTTCAGAATAACTTCGCCCGGAACGAGATAAGTGTGCTTCTATGGGGGCTACCCATAAAACTGTGTGCTGTTGGTCCTCTCAGACACAAAATCGGTGAACCACAGCTTTTATTTACACTGAATTTACACCTTGTTCATGATAGCCGTGGGCGAAAATCGGAAGGTGCAGCGGGTCGGCGCTACATTGGGCATCCGGAAAAGGATGGAGGCCTGCGGCATAGCCACATGGCTCACGTGCCCTGGTGAGAAACTTCCACTTGGAGTCTTTGAATGCGTGGAGTGTGGGGTGCATCCTTGTGGTCAGTAGCTTCATGAACTACCAAGGTCAGCACGGTGGACAAGGCAGCCTTTGGTCGCGAGACTGCCGCCGACCAGTCGGACGTGCACCTCGATGCTGCGTGCTGGAGAGGCTCTGCTTGGGGGGCAATCGACGAAGCAAGTCCTTGAGAGCCTACTGAAGGTGCTGCTGGGCGCAAGTACATCGGAGCGCCGGATCGAGCAGAAGGGCGGCAATCAGTTCCTGGCAGTGGGATGTCGCAGGCAGATGGCAGGGACCACTTCTTGACTCCGTTGCCATTGTTTGCGTTCTTTCTCTAGCCAGACTGGGGGCAAGAGGTGGGCTTGTCACGACACCTTGTCGGGTGTGGACAATAGCTGGGGACACTCCCACCGCTGCCCTGCGTGGAACGGATCAAAGGAAGGGACCAATTTTGCCATTGCTACACTCAGTTCTTCCTTACCAAATCGTACCACCATGAGCCAACGAGTGGCCCAAGATGGGTGACATGTGCATACGCTGTACATGTTACATGCCGAACTTTGGTGGTGCGTAGCTGACCGGCAGGTAACCGCGCAGCGAATTCCACAGAGAGTGCGAGAGAGAGAAACCTAACCCTGCCGAAAGAAAGAGAGAGAGAAAAGGCCAACCTGACCTCCTCCATCTCAGGGGGAGCCAGAGGTCCATGATGTTAGCACGCCTACTCGTATATACTCTTAGTGTGTTCGAATACTGCATGTCATGACCCCAATGTGGCCAATGTACGACTAACATCGGGGGACCAACACCATGCATGTGTGACCTTGAGAGCATACGACTACTCCTTCTTCTTTCGTTATCGTGCACTTTAGGGCACTAGCCGTCGGAGTAGTCTATGCTCGTACTTCACTCCCCAGGCCGATCAACACGATCGGGTGGACAAATTTGCCCGGGGACATTGACCCGTCCCCATGCCCGGGAGAGAGAGAGACAAGCAGTCTGGTGTAGGAACGGATTGTCTTCATTTAACGACATGCGCGAACGCATGCTGTCGCCGACTGACGCCAGGTCGACGAGATCGTCTTTCAGCAGCATCTGTCATTGCCTGTTTACGCTGCACTGATCGTGACGAACTCTCAGGTCTGGGGCCGGGACATTGACAATTCCGGTGAGAGGCAACGCCTCAAGGAGAGGGCTCGTTTGCAGGCCATTGGCTGTCTCAGCCTTTCCGCGCGGTGAACGTGAAGGCCTCTGGCCAGACACTGGGACGGTGGTGCATCCAAAATCGGAAGCTGAACCGTTGAACCTGAAGGGTTCCTAGTGAGTCGATACCCAGTGGTGCAAGATGCGCCGCTGGCGTTAGAGAGGCCGTATCGGCCGTACTGAAACGGCGCTCATTTTCCAACAGCACCGAGCCCACAGCTTTGCCCCCACTCATTTGAAGCGCTTCGATGCAGGGTGCAACTTCCCGGAATTGCAAAATGGTGCCACATATGGTTGCCAGCATCGAGCCTGCTTGCCTTTGCCGGGGCTCACCCTTGAACCTGAAGCTGTGTCCCGCTATCGTGAGGCGTCGCAGCAGCGCATGCTGAAGCTGGGGCTGAAGAAAGGTCTCTTCAGCGAGGAGAGCACGGGGGCATGCCGGATATTCCTCAACGAACCTGCTGGTGAGGAGCGAGCTGCTGCACCTGTCTTGAAGAAGGCACAGCAGGCCGCCACAGATACGCGATGATACGCGGCACGACTTGCGGGAGTCAGCTCTTTTCGCAAAGCTCCAAGACACAGAAGCCAGGCCTTGGCACCGGATGTCCTCGGACAGACTCCGACGTTGATGAATGTGGACGATGCCACTCGAAAGCGGTGTCCTGCTCAGTCACAGCTCTCGTACATCATGTCAAGCCCGCTGGCAAAGCCTTGTGTAGGGTTCCGCACATGCCAGTTCTTTCTAGTTCGTGCTGAGTGTGACATGGCGTTGGAGCGGGCAACGTGCGAGAGGTGTGTCAGCTTTTTGGTCGACGTGAAACGCTGCACTTCAGCGCAGACCTGGAGCGCTGTCTTCGTCCCAAAAAACCTCGAACAGCCTTTAGCATTCCTCCCCGACTCCCTAGCACAAGCAAGTTGTTCTGTCCGAAAACAGTGCCCCTCCACGAGAACATGACGGCGTCGTTGGTTGCTATGCCAGTATTGCCCGCAGAAGTAGCTAGAATGCAGTCAGAATCGAAGACAGCGTTGTACTGTACTCCGCCAGCAACCTTCCAAGGCTTACGCACGATGGCACTGAAGAGCTTCTGAAGGCGGTTCTTTCGAGACTTGAACCTTCCAAAAAGGGAGCCTGAGCTGGAGGAGCTTGAGCTCGTCTACTCGGAGCCCAACTTCCGAGAGCAGGCCAGATCAAGTCCCGGTTCAAAAAGGATCAAAGAAGTGTCAGACGATAGAAGAGCGACGCTTGCGCCATGTTGTGCTGCATGATGCTGCCTCTATGATCTCCTTTCTGGGTCAAGGCTTCCTCATTAGTTACCTTCACCTTCCCTTTACATATACCGCTGACTTGAGATCCTGCAGCCATGCACAGGATGTCGTCTCTTTGTGCCATTACTCAGGCACTGTTTTGGGGTTTCGCCTTGGCAGAAGAGGCATGCCAAACCGCCGATGCAACGCAAGGCAGGTGCACGGCATAGAGATGAAAGTTGCAGGATGGGTCAGCACTTAAGTGCATGCCTTGAGTATCCTTGAGTCCACCCATGGTCCTGACGAGGCCAAAACCTCTTGCAGCGCGCGCTGCACCAGAACATATTGGATGATGCGCGGAATGGTGCGACGGCCTTGGCAAATCTGACAGGATGTGGGATGGGCCTTGGTGGTACTTGCGCAACCAACACTGACTGGCGCCACCAGTTGGCGACATTTCTGCCGAGCGAGGGGGCGAACTATTTCAATACTTTCCTCAAAGTGTGGGAGGACTTAAGTTCCCTGTCTGGGTATGTCTTCTGCATTGGTGATCGTCCTGGCTCGTGGATTGTGGGTGATGAACATGGGGTGAGCTCTCAGCTTTACGATTCTTACCAGGGTCTCACATACCTGCGCAACCTGTTCCTTTCGCCATCTGACGCGGAAAAGTGGGGCACCATTGGATTGTACACGACCTTCATGTGTCCATCGGGTACAAAAGCAGACCTATACAGCGAGTTGAAAATGGGCTTTGCCTTCAACCTGTGTGGAACAGCGAAAGTCAACTTTATGCTGTCCATCAGTGCTGATGCATTCGAGTGCTTTGCAGACAAGCTTGTGCCGGTTCTCAGTCGTGTCGTTGGCATGCTGCCGGAGTTCACATTCGGAATTTCGGTGGATAAGAAGTTCTCCAAGACCGCGAGGTTAGCACATGGTGATGGTGATAGCATCCGCGTCGACGACATCACCATGGCGGCCAACTTGGGTCTCAGCATTACCGTTCGCATCTCTGTTGGGAGCCTCATCGGTGCGGAGGAGACAATTGGCCCTGTTTTGGCTGGGGACCTTCAGGCACAAATTGCTGCTGCATATGATGGCGACATCATCACACCTCTCAAGGCTATTGCCTCTGCCAATGTGGTCGACATCTTACCGGACCTGCTCGGAGGCTATGCTTCAGCATTCTACCTTGGCCCGTCATTGGCAGCGACGACCTTGCGTACAGCGGGAGCCAATTCAAACGTGGTCAGCTTAGTGGAGAACTTGCAGACGGCCACGTTTATGCTTGTCCTAAACGGCTACGTCACCTTGCAACTGGCTGGACCGAGGGTTAAGAGCGATGTGGCTTGCACCCCACGTGGCTTCAATCCCATCTCTGCTCTGAGCCAGGACCAACAATGGGCATCCTTCCCGACATGTCCTTCCAGCTGTGCCTCGTTTACAAACAATTGAATGGGCACAGCTATTTAATGTTAGCTGTTCCACTAGTATCGACACTGTGCTCCGTCCGATGCATGCTACATGCTGTGAGCATTTGCGAAGTATTCTCCTGGTACTGTATTCCAGTTGTTGCATGGATGTGATGGAGAGTCACCCGATGAGGTTCTCTGCTTCCATGATGCTGCGGACCGGGCCTGCCAAAGCCAGCGCAGATGATGAAACCGCTACATCGCACCTCCCGGGACTCTATTTCTATTTCTCGGCCGACATGGGTGCGTTTGTGGAGTCGATTGTTAAAACCATCTTGGGCCAGATCGGTGGCCTTTTGGATGTGGTGGGTGTTAATGTGGACAGCGGCATTTCGCTTTCTGCGAGCCAGGGCATTGGCTTCTTTTTGAACACAGCCGGTGTGGGCTTCGATTCCGAGGTGAAGATCGGTGGATCTGCGACATCCATCAAGTGCGTCTTTAAGTTCAGCAACAAAAAGCTAAGATGCAAAGCGCGCTTGGGCTGGGCAGAGCTTTTCGTCCAGGGGTCCAAATATGTCCTGAACAAGATCAATAACTTTGCCGGCAGTGGTGCGGATGAGATTGCCGAGTTCTACACGAACCAGGTTGGTGGGCAAGGCAGCAAATTTGGGAAGTCGGTGGTCAAAGTTGGCAAGAAGGTAACCGAGAAGGTGAAATGCAAACTGAGCAACCTTCTCGGCGGCAAATGCAAGAAGAATGGAGGGACTCCAAGCAGCTGCGGTGATGGAACCGAGTACGTTATCCGCAACGAGCAGGACCGAAAGCACAAGACTTCAGGCTGACTCAGACTTCATGCGACGGCGACAGTGCTGCTGCGCTTTTGCTGCTGATGCTCCTCCTTCTCCTACTGCACTGCCACTACTGTACCACCACCACTACCGCCGCCGCCACCGCCACCACCCCCACCACCACCCCCA